TATATATATATATATATATATAGCTAATTGGTTTCCTAAAGGCCTGCAACATCTAAGCCAATTAATCATTATTAATGAAATTATTTAAATAATTTTCAACTAAAAATCATATAATCTTTAACTGGTGTATGCAGCCCCTTAATTTTGTTTTAAAAATAACAATCCTTCTTTGTCTGCAAATATGCTGTCAAAAACCCCTCAAGTCAAGTGGCACAGTTTAATCTTAGCCTGGTTCAAATTCTATTAAAAAAATCTCATATTAGGCCCACTTTTCTATCCAATTCATAATTAATTTATGTCAGAATAGTTAAGTGGTTAATTGATATACAAAATTAATCATACATTGCAGCCATAGTTTGTTGTCAAGATATGCATGCATGTACATAGAAACAGGACTCCATCATATTGCTTTTGAATATAAAAACATTTTATTTTCAGATGTTAAAGTTCCTTCAAGTATGTTACTACAACTGATGATTGGCACAAGTTAACCTGTATACATCAGCCAACCTGCAATACTATGTTCAATGGACTTTTGGGAATCAATGCAAAGCTAAGTCTATGTAAAGCAATGGTCCACAATATGCTATCTATGCTGCCATAATACAAAACTACTTAGGGGGTTTATGTTTGCTAAAGCAGTGACAACTTCATTTAAATCTGTTTTTTTTTGACTAAATGCCATGACAGTTGCAGAGACCCCTTCCCAGTCCTCCACAACGCCATATATTTCAAAAGATAACAATTGATTTTCCACAGCTGCTGAACATTATGGTAGATCTTTGGCTTTTTGCACTTTGGTCCCAGACAAGCTTTTAGTTTTCACCTCCACAGAGAGCAAGCAGGATCTTCTCATAGTCTCCTTTTGTGTCATCCTATAAGGAAAAAAATAACAGTTAAGTTAGAAATATGAGAGTCCCTAAAAAAAGGAGATTGCAACATTTCTTTAATTATAGAAATATTTCTGCTCACCAGGATGTCCTGGTAGAGTGTTTTGCCGTAGTTTTTCTTGTACTCATCCTTGACCCGTTTCATATCTATCTCAGAGCGGCTCACCATGATGCGAGTCAGGATGTGTTTGCGGGTACCTTTACCCTAAGGGAGAATAAAGATAAAAACAAATCAAACAATTTGAAAAAGACTTTGTTGGCCAATAGAGAGTAGGTCTGATGTTATAGGAGCATATGGAAGAAGCTGTTGAATATACTGTACCTTCATAGCCAAGTAGAGTTTTTCTGCAAAGAATGCCGGCCTGCTTCCAGCACATTTCACTGTGGCAATTTAAAAAAAGGTCCATGGTTAATTATTGTTGTTCTAATAATGACCTATTTGGAATAAATAAAAAAATGCATATGAATGTGCCTTTACCTATTGCTGTGAGGCAGTTTTCGATATCTCCCTTCATCTCCAGGTCGATAGCTTTGGCCACATCCACTTTACTGTATTTTGAGTACCTTTCAAACACTGACAAAAAGAAATGAGTATGAAAAAATTATAATTTTTTCTAAAAGGGGTGAAGCGTCTTACTCAACATGGCGGTATGCTGACCTTTGCGGAGATGTGGGGCACTCCTGGTGGTCAGGATTTCAATGAAGGCGGAGCAGTCTTTGCCCTTCCTCCCCTCCCCAGCCTCATACAGAGTCCTGGCATCGCTGTCAATCAGCTGCTCACTGACTCCTTCAGTCCTGCCAGCCTAAGAGATGCAACAGCACAGAAAAGTCAGTTTTCTTTTGTTTTTATTAAAACAAATACCTCAGACTTTTATACTTATTTAACTCCGCTATGAGCATAAAAAGCAAACTACAGGGAAATGCAACTCAAAGGATAGAAAATATTCAGAGAATGTTGCAGTGCAGGGTCAAATAAAATATAATCTAGGAAAGTTTCTAAAATGGAGTTTTTGCAAAACTCAACTTCTTCATCAGGGTTTACAACTGATTGGATAAAAAGTACATTTTTTGTCTCTCTTGGATGACTTTTATGACATACTTTTCAGACAGCATAAGATATAAAGAACTGAGATACATAAAATATCTTATACTGCAAATATAACAATCATATAGTTTTAAATAAACATCTCTAAAAGTCAATAACAATTTTAAGACTGAATTTTCTTCTTTTTAGGCATTAGGGTCATGTCGTTAATATGAGGGACCTTAATTTTTGGCGAGAAGAGACCACTGATTATTTTGCCACTGGCGCCCCCTTGTGGGCACAAAGGGAAACAAATGCAATTTCTTATAAAGGGAATAGTTTATGTGACAGAAAAACCTATAATGTCAAAGGGCAGAATTTATTTCCAATTTTTTATTTTATTGGTTTTTCTTAAGGTTTCTTTGAAATTTGTTTTTTTTTATGTGCATTTACAGTTGTTTTATTTTCTCTTAATTTCAGTTTGATGATTTAATGCTTTGCTCCATTTTAGTTTGGTGATCTTTAATGTGCTGAAGAGTGCTTACAAATTTAATGCATTACCGTTTATTTTTACTACTTGCTTGCCTAAGTAATCTTCTATTGTACTACTGTTTAAATAAAATAAAGTATATTGAATCTGAACTGTACATTTAAATATAATAGATTAACTCTTGTTTGCAATATATTATGCTATTTCATATCTAAGTGTCCTGAAGCTCCGACTGAACACATTAGGAAATAGATGGAGTAAAAATGGTAAATAAAGAAAGAAAGACACACCTTGCAGAGAGCGAGGAGGGCAGCCCTGAAATCTCCACTGGTATCTGATCTGATATCCTCCTCCAGATCCTTCTTGTATTCTAGGAAATGATGTCAAAACAAGTTATACTGTAGGACAAAAGAACTCAAGAGGCTTTTCCTGAACTATACTGAAATTAGCTTAGCTTTAATGGCTCATACCCTCCTTGTAGACCTTCTTTATTTCCAAGATCTGCATGTTGGTTCTGGAGGCGAGGATCTCAATCAGGGTATCCTCATCTGTTCCAAGACCCTAAGAAAAGAACGTGTGGGCAGAGATTAACAGTGGAAAATACCGGTTATCATAAAAACCACCTCCCATTAAGAAAACAATGACTGAATGCTTGGAAGTATGTGGATGTTTTAAGAAACACAGAGGGAGCTGAGGCCAAAGCATTTGCCAAAGACGTGTTGTGAAACACATTGGCAGCTTTAAAAGAGTTTTACCTGTGAGTTTCCTTCAGGGATTGATACCAAATATTATTTTAACTTGATATATGGTAAAAAAAAAAAAAAAAAAACAATGGCAAATATTACATCCCGGCCCAGCAGATGTTAAAAGCTATATATAAAAAAAAAACATAAATGTTCCTCTCTAATAGGGTAAGAGTTAGCTGAAGCTTAATTCTGATATTTTCAATTAGATAATATTTTTAGAATAATTACTTTAAAGCATGACAGTAAAGATCTACTTTACATAGATTTTCTCCCAGTTTATTTTTAAATCATTATGTTAATTACAAACATTACAAACCTTAAACCTATTTGGAGTCACTGTGAAAACATTCTTATGTCATAAATCACCTGTTTTCATCTTTGTAATATTTTATAGACAGGAACCCAACTCTGATTTCATACCAATTCAGGGATTTTTAACTGATCTTCATGATATTGCAGAGCCTTACATTTTTTAGCTAATATGTAAATGATTTACCTGGCAGCTGCAGAGAGAGAAACTGTCAAATACATACAGATATTGCACTCTTATTTGTGTCTGCAAAATAAACCTGAGCAGGAAAAAAATATCTTGAAATATATCACATTGGCTTGAAAAAAAACATCTAACATGAAACTATGAAAAGACTTAATGCCTCAGAGCGTTTCTTAATAAATAAAAAAGTTCATGTCAACCAGATTTATAGCAGTAAGATTTGGTTGCAGTGAGGCAGAATAGGTAAATAAACTCAACTTTTCAGCCTCACTTTAAATTCCAAAATTAAGTTTGACGAAAAATTTTAAAAGATTTGGCAACCGTTTGTGTCTATTTACCTCATAAAGTAGCCCAGTCATTTACGCATACAATGACATTTTCACACTAATCCTACTGTATAACAGCTTGGTCAGGCTAAACAAACATCAGTTAAACCTTTAAGATAATAATATAATCAAACGCTGAAAATAAAGGATCAGAAACCTGTCAGATGGCCTTACTGCTTCAACCTACAGAAAAACTTTATTAAACTGGATTTAAAATGTATGAACAGTTATGTCCTCGAAATGACTTCAAATTAAATAAACATGTAAAATCATAAATACAGGAAAATAGAATTAAATGCATTTTATCGTAAATATTTTTGTTTTTTATGTGTGTGTGTGGGGGTGGGGTGGTGCATGTGAACTTGTCTTGTTTTAGTATTTTAATAAATATTCTTGTGTTTTGCTGGTTGTAAAATTTAGAATTTCTATATTTTCTTAAATCCTTTTCAACCTTAAGCTTTTCTATATCAGCTGTAAATTAAACTGCTAGAAAAGCTGCTGGAGGAGACTGTATAGTTCCAACCAGAAATATGACATTTGGTCAGAAAGGTCTTAATTTTTTTTTCTCACATGAATATTAATTTACATTTCTTAACTGTGGAGCAGTCATCTTAAATAGATCCTGTAGGATATTTCAACCAGGTTAAGTCCATTGTAGTAATTTATAAATTGTCAGGACACTAAATATTAAACATGGCTGTTAGGTTAATTAGTCCTTTGGTGTGAGTTTGTGTGCATGGTTGTGTGTCTCTGTGTTGACCTGCAACATACTGGTGACCTGTCCAGGGTGTAACCCACCTCTCACCTCTGCCAGAGATAGGCACCACCCCAACAACAATCAATCAGATCCCTAACTTTCAGTGAGTGCCATTAATATGGTATTCGGATATAGGAATTAGGAAACTTTTAAGTAGAAATTAAAATCAACGTCAACTGAGCTTCAATTAATAACATTTTGAAAAGCCGAATGGTCTGTATTTTTTATGTGAATTAAACAAGTCTTGCTAACTGGGTTAATCACAGATGTGTTGTTTATCTTTTATTTCAAATTTAACTGTTTAACTGTTGTATCGATCATAATATTTGTGGTAATAGAGAAGTCTATTTCTGTCAGGAACAGGGACCTTTAATAAGAACCATCAATACAAACACATAGACTAACTCATTTAGATTCAGCTTGTTTATTTGTTTGTTAATGAATCCCGTCCTGTCAGCTAAGTCCGTTCAATCTATAGTAATATCCAAGTGTTTGACCAACCTTCATTGCCAGTTTCAGCTGCTGAGCGTCATACTGGGCTGGTGTTTTCAGCAGAGCCAGCACCACTTCCTCCAGGTCTCCTTTAAGAGCCTTTTTCAGTTCTGCTTCCAGAGGCTAAAAAAAAAAGAGGGATGTTTTCTATGAACACAAAATAAACTTTTACATATTATGTCATTCTCTCTCTGCTTTTTCTCATAGTAGCTTTGCCTCGTCTGTTCCTGTTTGGCTGTGACTCCATCCTGGAGAGAAAAATCAGCTGTGCTGCTGCAATCAACACCTTTGTTTATAGATGCTGGAGATCGGCCTGTTTTTCAGTGTAGTCCTGTTTCTCTAACTGTGACTGGCTGGATGTGCTCTCTTTATCCTCTGACATGGGAGTTGGTTCGGAGTTCGCCTGCCTGGCTGTGTGTTTCCCGGACCGGGCCGCATTTTACAGTTGCCTTTTGTATTCTGCTTCTGTCTCCTTGAACCCCAGTCGGCCTCAGCAGATGGCCGCTCACACTGAACCTGGTTCAGCTGGAGGTTTCTTCCTGTTAAAAGGGAGTTTTTCCTCTCCACTGTCGCTACAAGCATGCTTAGTGTGAGGGATTGTATTTGAGTCAATGAGTCAATGCAATCAACTGGTTTTCCTTAGATAGAAAACTTTGAATCAATTTGACTGGATGATCTGGTTGAACTGTAAAGTGCCTTGTGATGACATGTGTTGTGAATTGGCGCTATAGAAATAAACTGAATTGAATTAAATATATATTTCTTTCTGTTACTTATATAGAAGAGCAGCTGTCATTACCTTCCCAGTTGCCTGTTGGTAAGCCTCTTTGATCTGCTGCCTCTGGTCATTGCTTCTTCTGACAAGAATTTCAATGATGGTGTTCTCATCAACGCCTGCAGTGTGTTTAGTAAAGATTGTCATTTTAAGTTGTAATAATACATTATATTCAGCAGATGGTGCTGATATTTCCCTTAGTTCAGGAAAACAGCATCCAGTTTATCACTTTGTTTACAGAGGACTTTTTTGGTTAAAAAATTGTTATAAAAGTTACTTTACACAGGTTAAATTATAAACAAGTATAAAAGAGCAATAAAAAAAAAACACTATGATCATAAATGATAAAAAATAAGCTGGAGATATATAGCAGGTAAGTTTATCAATCAATCCAAAATTAATATGTATATATGAATTAAGGTGGTTACAATCAACATAATAAAACAAATAGGATAAAACAACTCAGATCAGAGATTAAAGCATTAATATTACATCCTAAGATCAAAAATAATAAGAAAAATATACTTAAAAGCCAGCAGAAAGCTAAATATTTCAACACATCTGTAGTTTCTACTGCCCTTCCTTCTTCAAAACTAAAGAGGCTTCATGCAGCCAAAACATGTTAACACAGGCCCGAAAAGCTCCTCAAAATCTACCTTTGGTCTTAATGGCTTTTTCCAAGACTCCAGCATCTGCTCCTGGGTTGAAGTTGGCTGCAGCGGTGACCGTTCCCTCGTTCTTCAGGAGCTAAAGAGAAACACATATGAGGCGGTTGTCTTATTTTACTAGTCGCTAAAAAAGTAAATGATTTATATTGCAAAGGGTTTTTTTATGCCTTAGGTGCTCAAATTCCAAAACCAATCACAACTCTTAATGCACTTTTCTTTTTCTATTTTTTGTCCTCATGTAGTTCTCATCTGTTCTCATATCTTAGAACTGGAATGTGATAAATGAAAAACATGCCTTGCCTTGTCTATTACATCCTCAGTTTAAAGAACTTACAGAAAAGGGCATTGCAACAGTTTTTATGTTTTTTATTCAATTTTTTTCCCTGAGTTTTTGAAACCCATAATGGTGATCAGAGCAACACTAAACGGGACAGAAAAGATGCAAGACTAAGATAATCTCCTTTCTCCCTAATTCATCTTTAACCAGTCCTAGAAAGGAGAAGTACTTTTTGTGTTTGGAAAGTTTATAAAGGGAGGGGCACAAATTCCTGCTTCCCTGAGTCACACCAGAAGTTCAGCCATCAGTCTTATTTCACTCAACTCTTTAAGGTCCAGATCTCTTTTATGTTTCTCTTAGTTTTCTCTGTTATCTCTCTGTTAAGTTTACCACCCCTTCCTTCCTCCTTTAAACCCAACCATTTAGTTTCTTTAACATATTGTGAGGCTTTTTTTTTTTTTCTCTAACCCCTCTCTATGCCTGATCATTTTTTCCACCACAGCATACCACAGGGGAAGGAGAAAAAAAGGAAAAAACAGAGTTGTTGACCTTAGCAACCAAAAAAAGTGTTGCAGTTACTCACTGACTCATCGGGCAAACCCAGATAGACTGTCTGCTGCAAGAAGGCTTGGATGAAAGACATGTTGGAAGAGTTGGTTCTGTCTGTCTGAGGAAAGAAGATCATATCAGTTCTCTGATTGAGAAATATTAAACCTGTGAAATGAGTTTAAAGAACAGATCACAGCTTGAATCTATTTATTAAACTTGGAGTTAGAGACAAAATTGTCTCCCCTCCCATATATGCTGCACAAGCAAAACCTCTGTAAAGATTTACAAGAGGTTTTACTCTGTAATTACAACAATGTGCTGAGCGCCCAGCCACACCCACACCCAGCCTGATATGAACACTGAGTTTTGCAGACTTTGTCATCTGCCTCATGTGCTTTCACAGCGATTGTGAAATGATATTGGATGAAAAGTAGAACAGTAAAAAAATAAACATTTATTTGCATTAAGCAAAAACTTGTAATATCTCCGTTATATCAGCCACACCCTCCTACTGTGCAGCACAATGACTTCAATCTGACAGATTTACAGTTAAAACAAACACAACTAAAGTCAGAAACTAAGAACTGGAGTATAGGTTTAAGTTTTTCATGAAAATGGAAACTTACCGAGAGGTGTCAGAGGGGGAAGTTTCTCTCTCTGTGGTTGTAGGGGCGTTGTATGGCCAGAAGGAGAGTATTTATGCTCGGGCAAACCCCACCTAATGGAGAGTCCAGCCTCCAAATGCTGTGATTGGACTGAAAATCCGCCCTGCGCAGCAGAGCGCAACATGGCTCTGTTCATTTTTACGCACGGAAGGATTTTGGTGCGCAGAAATCTGGGCGCACTGTTTGCAGAATGTTTATAAAAGGATTTAAGAAAGACACGCAGCTTTTTGAGAGACATGTGCGGAGCAAGAGCCTGGTCCTGATCCTTCATAAAAATGTGATCCCCTGGAAAATCACAGGGATATGGAGCATCTGGGACTTAGGTGGCTAGTTTGCCTTCAGGGGATATGTTTGACCTGTTTGATGGCTTGCACTCTAAGAATGGATCGGTTAGAAAAACAGCCAATCTATTTAATGTAATAGGTTAACCAAACAACCAATAACCATGCTAAATGATGCTCTACTACTCTGACTGTTTGGCTGTAATCAACTGTAGTGGGTAAAAGTTTTTGGACTTAGAGAATTATGTACATTTAACCTTGGTTGTAACTTTAGTATTATTAGTAAACATCAAGATGCCCTGCCCTTAAATTTTCTTCTTTTCTTTTCTTCCAGTTTTTATTGTCATTACACTGTCACCAGTACAGACTAACAAAATGAACTCTCTGCATTTAACCCATCCCCTTGGGGACCAGTGGGCTGCCATTGTGCGGCCCCCAGGGAGCAGTGTGCTGTTAAGGATCTTTGCTCAGAGACCCAGAGTGGCATTCTGTGGAAGTGGGACTCAAACTCAGAACCTCTGGATTTTAACACTCTATGCCCTAACCACTAGGCAGCCATCCCCCCATTTCATTACACTGATTAACCAATATTTTGGTCAAGTCACCAATTTGTAATAATAATTATTATTATTACTAATAATAATAATTATCACTACTAATAATTGAACTTAATTGATCTCACATTGGAGAAAATTTACCGCTGCATATAACCTATCCCCTTGTGGAGCTGTGAGCTGCCATTGTGCGGCCCCCAGGGAGCAGTGTGGGGTTAAGGGTTTTGCTCAGAGACCCAGAGTGGAGGCTGTGGGAGTGGGGCTTGAACTTAGAACCTCAGCTTTCCATGCTCTGTTCCCTGACAACTAGGCTGCCACTTCCCTCAATACAGCCCCTTGTATTGATTTGCCCTTTTACAATTACGGTATGTTGGTCAAAAACACTTAACAATTGTATTGGTTGTTTTAACCAAAAGATTAGTTGGACACACAACTACCAACCAGATTGGTCAAATTCACCCATTTTTTGGTTAGTTGTCTAACTGTTGTTATTTAATACAGAATAATCTGTTTTTTCTATTTTTAGCTAAATTGGGTTGATGTGCTGGATTTAGGCATATAATGCATAATTGTTTTAAATGCTGAGAACAATTATTTGCAACTAGTAAAAGAAAAACATCTAAAACAAACCTGTTCCTCTGTGGAAACCAGAATCAAAAAATTAAAAAGAATCCAAACCAATCAAATCCACTTAATTCATATTTGATTTATTTTTAACCAGAGGGCTTTCCAAAGTGTCGTGCAGTAAAATGAACACATATATATATATATATATATATATATAATCGCTGTGACCCCCAAACTGGGAGAGTGGCTACAGCAGATTCCAGGTAAAACATCAGAGGTCCAGAAGAGCGCAGTCCTAGGAACAGCTAAGATACTGCGCAGAACCCTCAAACTCCCAGGCCTCTGGTAGAGGACCCGAGCTTGAGGATGACACATACCACCCCACGAGGGGTGAGAAAACAGTTTTTTTTTTTTTTTTTTATACAATGGAAAAAGAAGGGGGAAAAAAAGTTCACAACATGACGTAGGCTTCAAACCCTCTATAACTAACACATTCTGCCACCATCTAAACTATTAAATACCTTAGATCATGCCTGAATCAGTCTGCAAAGAGTTACAAAGAGATTTCTAAGACTTTGGGACTCCACAATCACGAAACAGTGGTGATCAATATATTTATCACCAGTCTTTCTCAACTAATTGGCGTGAATGACCTTTTCATATCTTCTGGAATTCCTTTAGCAGGATGTTTGTTTGTTTTTCTACAGCTTTTGCCTAATTTCTGTAATAAAGCAGGATATGATATTTAGTGTTTAGTTTATACAAGATTGAGAATAATCAGCTGTGGGTGTAGCTATCCTTATGGAAGATTTTTAAACAGTTTGGTCAATCACATTTAATTTGTGATTAAAAAAGAAGGACAGTTACTTAACTGGTCAAAGTGATCATATACTTTTTCTCTCATGATAAACTATTGTAAATTATTTATAGGTACATTGACCATTGCTACACGACCCGCAGGGAGAAACATAGACCTCTGGGTTTCTTCAAAGATGTGTGGTTTTGGTGTGGTGGAGTAATAACTGACTCTAAGGTGTGGTAAATAATCACGTCAGTGGAGCCAAGGCCTTATACATGCCTGAACAGGGGGCTGTGACAGAGAGATGAATAACAGCCAGGATACTGATGCATTTGTTTGACGACATCATTTCAGCACAGCCAGATGTCATATTGATGATAAATGATTAAAATTTCGTCATCTCTACCTGTGTGATTATAAACCACTCTGTGCTCCAGTAGTTTAAATTGCATTATTTGTAGAGGTAACCGATCAGACTAAAATATGGCCACAGCAGGGTTGGATAAAAAAAAAAAAAAAAGAGTAAAAAGTACGCAAAGCTGTATTTTCATTAAAATGGCATTAATGTTGGATTTTTTGTTAAGTAAAGTGTGTTAAACAGATGCTCCAGCTGTGATCCAAATGCTACAAATGAGGCCAAGTCAGCAAAATAAAGGAAGTCCTCTCAGAGGAGCTCAGCCAACATCAACAGTCGGGGAGGGAGTAACGTACGGCAGATGATACAGGAACAGTGGGCACAGTTATCTTCCTGAATTACATCTTTAGGAGAAATATCACTGTAGAAAATATATTCATATCCTCTTCTTCATTGCAAGAAAGACAATTAGTCAGTTCATCTAAATGCCTGGATTTAGCCCTAAGAACTGAGGGAAGAGTGTCATTTCCAGGGAAACTAATCAAAATAAAGCAGACATAAACCAAAGTAAGTGATGGTATTAAAAATAGATATCTCTGAGTGGCAACAAAGCATCCAGTTTCAATACGGATGGTACAAAGAGGAAACTTGAGGACTTTTAGGGCATCGTTTTACCTACAGTATATGAGTGGAAGCTGGTGAAACTCCATCACAGCAGGTTTAATATTTAAAGACTGTTGAGAGTTTGGTTCCCCTGAGAGATCAGGATCAACTTGGCCTTTTCTTCCTGTAGCTTAGCAGCACCCAAACTTACCTGAGTTACTCTGACAAACGGCACAGCTTCACAAACCAGGTAATCCTTCAAACCTTTTTTATTGTAACAATCCAACTACTATCTACTACTGTCTACTATCTTATATTAGAGGAAACATCATTATTCTGTAGATACTATGTTCTGTAAGATAGCTGCAACAGCCTTTTCCTACTCAGTGATTCAGAAAATATCATTAAAAATGCCAATGTTAAAAGAAATATTTGAGATTGTCAGTTTTCCTGGCTTTCTTTTATAATAACTGAAAAAGCCTTTGAGGCAGATTAGACTTTCTGAGTGAGCAGGTTGTGTCAGCTTTGAGACATCTGCTTATATTTAAAGGATTCAACAAGGTTTCATAATGTGGACAGAAATATTCGGACGTATTTGATTGCATATTAGGTAACATTTTTTCATCTATCTCGGCTCTAAAAGGATTCTAACTTGCTTTTCCCTGTAGATTGTGGACTTATCCAGCTCCTAATGTGGTAGCATATTGATAGAACATAAGAAAAGTGGTGAATACCAGCAACCATAATGTATATGAACACATCTGAGACTGCCAGAGGATCTTATTCGCTGACCTTCCTGGGAAAGAAAGTAGGGAGGCATCACTCAGTGGCACCGGCTGGGAAGCAAAGTAAGTGTTAAGCATAACACAATTTCCTGACGTTCATCTGCGAAGTAAAACATGATTTTTAAAAATATATATATATATTCTTCAAAATCATGTATCATCCCATATTTTAAATATGAGTTTGTAAGTAGACTGATTAGAGTGCAGATTACTTATTTTATATGCTTAGGTAGTCCATCTCTAAATCACTTAGCTATTCAGAAAAAGAAACATAGTAAAGTGGTTGCTGGAAACGTTAGGAGTTAATCATTCTGATCATTCAGAAGCAGATTGAAAGTGTAGCACCTGCAAATGTATGAATAATATAGGCACATTTGGCATCAGAGTTTGCCCCAGATGTACCACAAGCTGATGCAGATGTGTTTTTTTATGGCGCTAATTGAATGTTTTAATGCTTCCTCCAGTTTTTAGTGATCATAAATGAAATCCATGTTAATAAGATACAGGGAGGTATTAGATTTGCTTTTATTTGTTTGACCTACTTTTAAAGGTTTTTCAAACAACTTCCATTATGTTGAGTAAAATAAAATAAAAAATATTGTTGTGTGCATTAATAACCAGACCAGGTATCAGTGATCTGATGCAGCAAGGAATACTGTTTACCAGCTACGGTACCTTTAGATGTCAAAGGTCCCTAAACAAGATCCTTTACTCCAGAAACTTGCACTACCTAATGTGGCAGAGGACACACATGACCCTAAAGGGACATTTCCTTTCCAAACAGCAATGTATCTGTTTAAAATAAACTCATTGATTTTCTTACAATACCTTGAGATTTACGTGCTTTGGTTTATCTCATATATATATATAAAAAAAAAGGAAATTCTGTGGATGCAATGTAAAAACTGTGAAAATGTGTCATTGGTGTCATTTTGTTTCTTTCATGTCCTTAATTAACTAATTATTAACATATCACCTATGTAAAATCAACATTAAAATGACTCCGATGAAATCTAGTATTTTGAGGGCAAAGGGCTGTTCAAAATCAGAGAAAACATCTGATGAGTTACGTTTATTACATATCAACATAACTCTTAGAAATTCAAACACATTTTAAACAAATACTAAGGAATTCACAGGAGTTAGTTTTTAATATTCTTTTGATGATAAAACTGAAAACATACGGTACCAGCTTCTTAGAGATTTTAATTTCTGACAATTTTCTCTACTTTCACAAGAAGTGAGGTATTTATTGTAAACATGGATTACATTTTTTTTTTTTTTTTTTTGTCAGTACTTGTTTGGGGTTGACGCAGAATCATTTTATCACTTTCAAACTCATTATTAATTAGCAGCAGCACGTTTAAGTTCTCCATTCTGCAAATACTATAGTGTTAAATGATCTGTTTAAAAAAGTTGAACCTGACATGAGCACTTCTATAGCATCTTGAATGATTTCTCTGTATTTTTACTTAAAATAATTGAAAAAAGAATCCTGAAAAAGTAATACTGATAAATAACTTTTTTACAGTTTAAATGGGACATTTTGCAGTAGCTATTCAATAGCATATACTGTACGAGGTTACACATGGAGAGGTAAGGTTTTCTTAAATGTTCTGACTATGAAGAAAAGTTCTAAGAAAAAAAAGTTGTGAAAAAAAGTTCTAAGAAAAAAAAGTTGTGAAAAAATACATTGTATGTGAAGGAGTCAGCCTTAGTCTGCACTTGAACCCGTTGAATTATGACTGGAATGTGAAGATAATGATAAGAGCGCACTAACACAGCACTGAAGAACTGTGTTTTAATATTTAAATTAAGAGGAACTCTAAGAAAAAAAGGACAAAAGGACATATATATATATATATATATATATATATATA